ATAAATTGACTAATAAATAAATAAAATGACCTGCAATGATCTAGTTATTAACGTGGGGTTGTGGGTAAATAAAGCCATTCAATACATGGCAACCAGGACAATTAACTGAGAAAACGCACAACTTTTTTTTTTTTTTTTAAGTGACGCGATACCAGATGTTTCTTTTCAGTCTGCGGTCATAAAAACAGCTGCATTTTAGGGTATGTTTACCTGGTGATGACATCACACAGGTGTGAAGAGGACTGAGTCAGCCTGAGTGTAACTAAACACCCTAAGGGGAGGACAGTTTACTCTACTGATATCAGTTATGTGATTACATCAACAGACTGAGTCATGGCAGTGACGTATATTCTGCCTTACAAAGGCAAAAGGCAGTAACTAACAAAAGAGTTTTTGTAATTTTTGGAACATTACAGATGTTCTTTTTTATGTGGACAGATATCTTGAGTCAATTGTGTTGTTGTTTTTTGAGAAAATAGTAGGTTGTATTTGCCTTAACTTCCAAAAGCCCTGGAGAAACCAAGGCAGAGTGCAGTAACTTCACTCATAAGGGTCTTTACCTTTGAACTGCAGCATTCAGGAATGCTCAAACTGAGTTCAGGTCTTCTGTCTTTGTTTTGCTGCAGATCAAAGTGAAGTTACTGTTTTACTGCAGTGGAGTTAAAGTGTTATGCCTTTGTTTTAATGTCATCAAGGACTTCTGACACACACAGTAGCTTGACTAAAGTGTAGCAAAGAAATAGCGTTGGTTGTGTTATTTTAACTATGCAACCAAGTGAAATACAGTATCAAATGGAAGTTAATGCCTTTTGCCTTGGCATGACCCCGTTATTATTGTACAGGCAATGCAAAGGCAGAGTACCTTAACTTCCAAATAAGGGTCAAAGGTCATGTTTGAGCTAAAGCTTTTTATGAACATTAATAACCTGATTAAAAAGACGAACAATTGCCACATTTCCAATATTCTGCCTGCAACTCATTTGGCTGGACAACAAAAATACTTTAAAGTCATTTTTCTCAGTTGTAAACTCTGGCGAGTTAAGGGCTTTTGCCTTCGTAGGTCAGTATTGTACATTTGAATCTATTAAGCATATACAGGGACATTTAATCTATATTAAGACTAATAGTGCTAGTTAAAATGACACATCTGTACACTTTTTTTTTTCTTACTGTGGGGGTTGACAATTCAAAATTCCTACTCCTGAGGATTATTCAAAACTCAAGTGTGATTCTTTAAATTAAAAAGCAAAGTGCCATTTATTTTTGGTGAGCTTTGAAAAAATGACTGGTTAATTCACTCCCACTGAATTGAAACAGCTCACCATTCCACCCTTGCATGATGTAGACAGAGGGAGTGGGGAGACATTGGAAGATATGCACCCCCACATGGACAAACTGGGTAAGTACATCAAATTACACCAATTTACAGTGGATTTTAAAACTACAAAGAACTTTTAGGCAGAGGTATAAAGAGCTCGAACTAAATATGAAGTTTAAACATGGGCAAAATGTGCAAGGATACAACAAAACAAGGCTGCAACAGACCCACACCCAACCAACCGAGCTGAAGATTTAGATCATTTTATTTTTCAAACAATCGAGAGATGTTAAACACTGAACAAATAAAGATGCCCCAATCGAAACTCCAGAAAACAGATTCTTATCAACCAGTTGTAGCACTTTTTCCTTTATTGCCAGCTGTGCTGTTGTGCAGTTTCTCATTGTCTGCAGCTTCACCCTCGCTAGATCAGTGTGTACAAAAAGTAACAGAAATGGTGCATATACCAGCATTGTGTTGATCACCGGATTTGGAATTCTTGCACATCAACCCCGCTCGACAGACAGCACAGTTTGTTATGCAGAAACAAATCCAGATTTACCATTTACCAAGGCACATTGGTAGGGATGAATGACTGAAATAATGTATGGACAGAGAGGCTGCACAGAAGCCAATCTTTATGTATGTCATGTGAGAAGAAGTGGTAGGAACTGATGAGTATAAAGGGAAATCAGAAGATTTAGTTGTCACATGGAGAATGCCAAGAACATCTGATGCACACAGCTTTTCTCTCTCTCTTGTTAATGTTTGAAGTATGTTTGTAAAAAAAATAAAAAATAATAATTGAACAAAGGAAATGCTACTGCGCTCAGCCCGAAAAAGTGTTTCCAAACTCTCAGAAGCAGCCGCAAAAATGTTAAACCTCTGAATAAACTAGGGGCACAGTAATAGATGTAGTATCAGTCACTATTCACACTTGATTAAGTCAGTAATGAAATGACCAACAAGTTGTAAAAGTATGTACAAGTGCTTAAGGAGTCTCAATCCTGTACATTCACTAAGGCGTTTTAACTCAGAAAAATATGGGGAAGTTTTCCAGAGGGCAAACAATCTATAGGAATGGAAACAAAGTGAGTCCTGTCATTTAAATATCTTTTTGTTTTTGAAAATACAATGCAATTTTTGATCAGCACCATCGGAGTTACATTCTTTACATTTTTAAGCTTAGAAGAGAACCGTGAATGTTTTCACCTACACTGAATAAATGTTGAAGTAACAACATATTATTTTAATGAAACCCTGTGATCTTTAAAAATATTTCTGTTTGAGATGCCTGGACATATGGGTGCTGTGTGGATGAAGGAGAAGAGTGAAAGTGGGTGGAGTATGGAATGTTAATGACCAAATGCATTAGCCGATCTGTAAGAAAGACCATGCAACAACAAATCTGTATGCCCCTTTAACATGAAAGATTAGGCTGACAACACTGCGATGCAAACCGGAAAAACATGGGAAACATCTAAAGGCGTCTGAACATCTGTGTGCGTGGACGTCCCATAAATGAACTGATCAAAAATAAATAGATGTATACATGATAAGAAATTTATAATTTACTCTTAATATCTCACATAAAGCTTCTTGTAACTGCCAAAAATGGTCCAGTACTTCATACTCTGGACATGGTCAGCTCTACCTGTGCTAGATAAACTCATCAACACCTCTCTGGGCACCAACATGGCAGACTGGACAGGACAGCTAAACCCCAGCCTTCCCTCAAATTTAACCCTAGATTGCAATTCCTCATTAGAAACTAGACAGTCAAAAAAAAAGAAAACATTATCACCCCAGTAAACCTGAAACACAGAACATTGAAAATCTACATCGTAACAACATTTCAGGTTTTTCTGGGATAAACCTGTCTCTCTTTCTTGCCTTCAGTGGTAGTACCAGTGCTCTACAGCAAGGGATTCTTCATTCCTGCGACTTTCATTTAGAAAAATAAAACAGAAACAGCCCTTGGTATTACAAACTCAACTATTATTTTAATCTTTACTATTTTTATACCAACATCTCAATGGATTATCACAGGAAGAGGCATGGGCCAGAGTTGGGTCGGGTAGGAGTTTAGCAGGCCTGACGTTTGCCAAACTCACAGTGGACAAACAAAAATCACAAATTATTTTGTCTCTGTGTGGAGACAGCGAAAAAGGAGTGGAAAAGGACAGCAAACCTTCCCAAACCCCTCAGTCTAGGCAAACATATGGCAGGATGTTCAATTTGCTTTCATCCCCATGAGGGTCCAATGATATGCACTCTGTCCAATCATACCAGTTGCCCTTGGTGTCACAGCAACCATTCACCCCCGGCCAGTGCTGTGTGTGTATCCTGCCCAGGTCCTCGTCCGTCACCTCCCTGCTCAAACCCGGTAAATCCCCTACCGAGCTGTCCGTCTGCAGAACATGAATCTCCCTTGAGTCCTTGATCTCCTGTTCTTTCCTTTTCAAATACTCTGACATGAAAAAGTGTGCACTAGGGGCTTGGACCCCTGAGGAGGTGAGCACATTGCTCTGAAGGTTCAAGTAGGACTGGATGATTTCATTTCTGGACAGCTCTTTCCAGTTTGTTTGATGGAAAGGGTTAGCGCTGGGACCTGGACCTGGGGCAGAGGCAGGGGCTAAGGTTTTGGCAGGGACAGGGACCGGAACAGGGGGCTGTTGAACAGTGCTTTCAGTTCTCTTCCTAGATTCAGCATGGTCAGGAGTTGGGGCTTCCTCCGATTGAGAAGGTTCTTTATGTACCAGATGTTTGATCTGACCTGTGACAGGATCAAATGTAAGTCTGCGTTCTTTTAACCGTACAGGTTTAGTCGAGTCCTCTATTTTCTGGCCATCTAAGTTGACAGAGAAGTCTCTTGATCTGTACTTCCTCCTTTTATGCTCCAAGTGTGAGATGGTTGCCCCGTCTGTGTCATCAGACACAGACATGGCTCCCTCAGATGCTGGTCTGTGCAGTTCTGAGTTATGTTGAGGGTGGGAAGGCGAAGGGGAGACGGTTGGAGATTCCAGTGTTGCAGATATGTCTTGTGGTGGGCAATGAGAAGGGACTTCTGACAAACCAGCCCAGTGCATTGAAGACCTATGAGAAGAATGTGGCAGCTTGTCAGCGTAAGAGGCTTGCGCTGGGGCGGATACAGGCTGGGGCAAAGACAAGGGAGAGTCCCTAGAGGAAGGGCTTGGGGTGGGTGTTGCTTTTGGTGCATATGCTGAGGAGCGCTTGGTCACTGTGTCCTGTTTCATGCTCCTTGGACTGGTGGTGAGACCACGAGGACTTTTGGCTTGATAATAAGCCCCTCCTCCCCCTTCATCCAATCTGGCCTGTTGCTGCATTACAGCAGCCTTGATCATAGAGGAAGTGCTAGGTGGTTTGGCCACCCCAGGGAAGCTGGGGCGAGGTTTGACTGCATTAACAGGAATTCTGTTAATTTTGTCATTATCAAGGGGCTCTAACCGTGATCTGTCAGGAGACGGGATGACTTGCAGATCAAGCAGCAGGGCATCAGGACTGCCTGCAATGCCATTAGTGGGTGGTGGTGAAACTGAGTTTTCATAAGAAGACAGCTTGGAGATTTTCTCAGGTAAGTGCACGCCACTGTCTCTGTTCTCTGCTCTTCGTTTGCGGCTTCCTGATTTTTCCGCTTTTGGCGAGTATGTGTTGTGAACATCGATTCTGATTTTGACTTCAGGGACACCTTTCCCAGTCACAGAAATGTCAGGAGGAGAGGTATCTGTTCTGCAGGGAAGGGAACTGCCATTGGTAGACCCAGGGGCACTTGCAGCAACAGATGTCCCAGGTTCAATCAGCTTTTGCCAGTTCCTTAGGAGTTTCTTTGCACGCTTGGCAAGGTCTTCATCCTTGGTCTTCTTCCTCACATCATTGATCAATTTTCCTAGTCGGGTTTCCTATATAAATTGGTATGAAAGTTAGAGACTAGTTAAGCAAAATATTTCTACATAAAAAGGTATTATTAGTCTACCATCTTACCTCAAGTGCTTCTTTGGTGATAGGATACTTTTCTAGACTGGTAATTACATCCAATACAGCCACCATATTGCAAATCTACAGGGAGGAAAAACAAGCATTTCATATTATTCAAACCTTTGAGTGTTAGTCTAATATCACCATTAACAGGGGAACTAAGAGTGGATGTCACTATTAAACAAGACAAACCTCAGTTATTATATAAGACCATGCAAATAACAAATACTCACACAACCAACCGAATGTACTGTTTTGTTAGAACGACCTTAGTATTTGAAAGAAGTTTAAATGTATACAACGTGAGAGAGACTTGTGTTAAATTAGAAACATGAGCTTTGTCTGAGTGCTTCACGACGACGTTCAAGAGTAAAGATGGCAAAGTGTCAATTCACAAACTCTCCCGACACTGAAAACGTTTTCATGTGAAAACTAAACACACAAAGTTACACACTTTCACTATGAAGGGTAAGCGTTGTGTCCTGTCAATAAGTTCAGGAAGCTTTCTGGAGTGGACAGACTTACCTGCGTTAGCAAACTGAGCTAACTAACTTGAGAAAGAAGGATCTGGCTATTTCCTAAAACGTAGCTTTTCATGCTAACAGTGGGCTACACATCTCCCACACTTCACCTACAAGGATTACTGTCCGTTCACCTGTCTGCGGTAATACCATGCTTCATCGACAGAGCACTGGTTTAACTTGACAGTAACATATATATTTCATTGGCACCACCTGTAATTATACTCCTTTAAGCCGCTAAATACTCTAAACCCGCTTTGGGAGTTACAGCTAGGCTAAGAGCTAGCAGCTAACACCAGAGAGGCAGCAAACTATGCTAAGTTAGCTAACAAGCTGTCAAATGAAGAACTCCGCGTCTCCATGTCTTCTGTGGTCATTTTACACGTTTGTACCGACACACTTCGCAAGTCGTGTAATTCAAAGAGAAAGTGTTGAACTAATTGACAGGTGTTAGTGTGAGCTGCTTTAGTCAGTTCACCGTAATGCAGGTAAACAAGCTAGCAAAAAGTTAGCCTCCTAGCCTGCTAGCTGTACTCACATTGCTGTGACTGTCGACGGCCTGCAGCAGCCGGTCCTTCATCTGCTGCGGGGTTGCCGAGACCGTTGTCATTGCCTGTTCGGTGCGATTCGGAGGATGGAGGGAGGAATCCTCCAAAATGAAAACCAGGCGACAGAGAGGACTCAAAAGCCGGCGTCGTCACACGTCAGGCGTCCGAACAGCATGTTTTTTTTTCTGTTGCCTGGAAGTTGACGGCTCGGGGGGGGGTTTTTCTCACATGGAGCTGGAGATGCGTGTGCAGTGTTGACCGTCTGCTGCTGCCTGCTCGGCGCTCTCACAACTCACTACCAGCTGCTGGATCTCTGAACGGCCTCCTGCTGCATGCTGGGATACGCTGTGTACGCTGTGACGTCTGCACGTAGCCAAGTAAACATCCCTGGCGTACAACACCTACAGCACCGGTGAGTTACTTTACAGCAGCAGGTTATCCAACACACAGTATGAGTGAAAAAAAACCCACAATGTTAGCAAATCTAAACACAATATCATATTAAATACAAAGTAAATAAGTACTAAAAATATCAAAACTAAGAATGTGAATATATACAACCAGGATTTAACTAAACATTACTAGTCTTAAATAGGAAGATTAAATATGGAAGATTGAATGTGCAAAAACAGAGTTGTAAATGGTTGTAAATTAAATATGAAGGATTAAATGTAAATGTGCAAAAACAGAGTCGTAAATGGTTGTACATTAAATATGAAGGATTAAATGTAAATGTGCAAAAACAGAGTTGTAAATGGTTGTACATTAAATATGGAAGATTAAATGTAAATGTGCAAAAACAGAGTCGTAAATGGTTGTACATTAAATATGGAAGATTAAATGTAAATGTGCAAAAACAGAGTCGTAAATGGTTGTACATTAAATATGGAAGATTAAATGTAAATGTGCAAAAACAGAGTCGTAAATTAAATATGAAGGATTAAATGTAAATGTGCAAAAACAGAGTTGTAAATGGTTGTAAATTAAATATGGAAGATTAAATGTAAATGTGCAAAAACAGAGTTGTAAATGGTTGTACATTAAATATGGAAGATTAAATGTAAATGTGCAAAAACAGAGTCGTAAATTAAATATGAAGGATTAAATGTAAATGTGCAAAAACAGAGTTGTAAATGGTTGTAAATTAAATATGGAAGATTAAATGTAAATGTGCAAAAACAGAGTTGTAAATGGTTGTACATTAAATATGGAAGATTAAATGTAAATGTGCAAAAACAGAGTTGTAAATGGTTGTACATTAAATATGGAAGATTAAATGTAAATGTGCAAAAACAGAGTCGTAAATGGTTGTACATTAAATATGGAAGATTAAATGTAAATGTGCAAAAACAGAGTCGTAAATTAAATATGAAGGATTAAATGTAAATGTGCAAAAACAGAGTTGTAAATGGTTGTAAATTAAATATGGAAGATTAAATGTAAATGTGCAAAAACAGAGTTGTAAATGGTAGTAAATTAAATATGAAAGATTAAATGTAAATGTGCAAAAACAGTGTTGTAAATGGACAGTATTGACAAAAGTTAAAGTGCATGAGTGTAGACATATTATAAGCAGAAACAATACAATATAACGGCGAGTAGACAGCCAAATGAAGTGAACTTGAGTGCAGGGATAATTTGTAAATTTAACATGTGCAGAACAGATTACAGTATGGAGAGACAGATATTATCAAGTAAGCCCATGGATGTGTCCCTGTATAATAAACTTCTAATTTTTAAAGCCCTACTGACCTGTTTTTATATCCAGGGGATCAGGTGTATGTTAATGCATTTTTAGGGAGCCTGCTTATCTAGGCTACATTAAAAACAGAAGTGAAGACAATCGCCTCTTTAAGACTTTAATATTAATACTGGTAGCCTATATGTATTTGTATGATAAACCAGGAACTTTTATTGTGCCTTCGTTTGTATTTTCTCGTACTGGCTGTCTTTGATTTTAACCTTCAGTGTGTGACAAAGTTGTTGTCTATTTTTGAATATATTTTATTGAAAACTACGGAAGCGTATTGCATTCATGTGGAGAATTTTTTTTTTTGCCTGGTTTCTTGTTATTACGAGATAAAGATCTCGTTATTTTGAGAAAAGATCTTGTTATTACGAGATAAAGATCTAGTTATAACGAGAAAAGATCTCGTTATAACGATATAACGATGTTTGTGTAACATTATACCAGAATGGCATCTTATTAATGGCTTTTTATCATTTAATGAGACTCATTAAATGATATTCAACTGATCCTGGAGGAAGAACGCAATGTCAAGTAGGTCAGAGTGTTCTTTCCGTCTGAACAACTTTAACACCTTCAGATGCCTGCGCAAAGTTGACATGCTCATGATAATACCATCTATGTTACTCAAAGACACTAATATTTCCCAATGTCTTAACCCAAGATGGAAATAAAACGCAATCAAATCAATAACCCTGGTCATCGTTGCCTTTTCTTCCTCCCTCCTCTGCCTGCCACAATGCAAACTTCATTACCCCTCTCGTTATCATTTTAGTCTGTTATGTGATCTTTTTCTCGTAACAAGATCTTTATCTCGTAATAACGAGATCTTTTCTCGTTATAACGAGATATTTACTCGTAATAACAAGGTCTTTTCTCGTTAAAACGAGATCTTTATCTCGTAATAACAAGAAATCAGGCAAAAAAAAAATTCTCCACATGAATGCAATACACTTCCGTAGAAAACAAAACGAGTATTTCGATTGATATTTTGCCTCAGCAAACTAATTTGCCTGAAGGGTCAAGTAGGCCTACAAATATTAATGAAAAGGAAAAGTAGGAAATCCTCGTATTTGAGAATCTGTCTGCAGCTTACGTCTACATTTATACTTAATAAATTATTTAAACAATTATATAAAAGGAATACATAAATATTTAGCCACAAGGGTCTTTTAATTAAAGGCCTTTGTGTTTTGTTGTTTTTTCTTTTTTTCTAATATGCTTGTTATCTGTCACCCTTGGAAATAAAGAGAGCCTCAATGTATTTTAAAAAATAAATAACGGTTTGAAATGAAAGGAAATGAAATGTTGGAATTATTGAAACAAGTCTCAAAAAAGATTACAAAACTCTTTAAGCCACAATTATTTTTTATTTTACAATCATTTAGCAGTGAGGGGAGTCCCTGTTTTAAAAAACAAAACCGGTTCGGTTTTTGTGAGATTGGGGAACAGCTTTGGCTTTTTCCATCTAATATGGAATCAGTAACCAGATGACCACACAAACACACACACACAACTACTATTTATCACTATTGTTACATTAATGTCATTCACTTTGGAACCTGAGATTTAAATACATGTTTAATTAATGGATGTGTTTATACCATGAAATGCGAGTTATTGATAAGTTTGCATTGAAGTGTTCCACCAGCAGATGGAGTCCTGCAGTTCTTCAGAGAAAAGCATGAGCTAAGCCTGTCTCTACAACAGGAGGTCAGATGAGGAGAAAATCAGGATGCTGCATCACTGGAGACGATTGGGCAGGAGAGACTGTTGAGCCATTTGAGGGAATCAAACTTGAGCCACCGCACTACAGGGACTACAAGGATGTGGATCAGTCACGCGTAGTCTAATTTCTTTTGTAAGGTTTTTTAGTCGGCTAAACATCCACTTACACAATAAAAAACATGAACCTTTCCTGATGTAGAAAGACAGAAATCTAACCACCAGTCATCTTGGTCATTTCTTTTGTCATGTCCATCCCACATGCATAGTGTCAGCTCCTTAAAATGAGTAGGTGTGGACAGAGTGGGAGAGGCAGGGTGAATGCTGGGCGTGAAGCTGTGGAGTGGGTGAGAAAATCCTAAGTTATGCCAGTAATGTGGGCTGCAATCATCATGTAACTACTCTTTTAGTTCTTTATTTTCTTGTGCTTATGAAGTCCACCTGATGACAAAAAAAATACACTAAAGCCCATTTCTGCTTATTCAGATATATTTATTTTCATTTCTTTTACAAATAATAATGCAAAGTTACAAGGACAGAAGCCTCCACACAAGAAAAATACATCAGGTACAGTTCAAACAGAAGCATATTTCTTCTTTTATATAGCACACATTTACAGCCAACTTGGATTCTTTTGGTCTGATTTGACAGTCAAGATAGAAAACACGCAGTTTGAGGAACAACGTTTGATCCAGTCATTTTTTAAAGGGTTACCTCAAAAAAGTACCAACTTGCCAAGCTGTGCTGCAGAATGCTAGATTTTGCATATTCCATGAGCATAATGTTTCCTGTTGCTGTGAGCGTAACAACAGGAGCATAGTGCACCCCTTCACGGCAGTAAAATGCATGTTTGGAATAGTGTAACTGTACTTAGAAACAAAATACATTATATAACAATTTAGCTGCCATTGTATGAGGCTTGAACCAGCAGTGGGCTGCCCTCAAAATGCACATAAAGGATTCAGAGATGTGAGGAAACCCACTGAGTAACCCCACAGGACTATGAGTCCGTTTCATCTTCCTGATTCAGTTTGTGTTTTAATGTGTTGCATCACAGAGTCAACATTTATCTAGTAGTATACAGTCTGACTTTACAGTATTTGAATCTGCCACATCTGATCTTATTTCTCAGACAAGTATTATATAGTGAAATGCACTTCAAAAAGTGTTTGACAAGATTTATAAAAGACGAAAAAGCAAAATAATTTAAAGTAAAATGTAACATGTCAAGGTATTTTACGAGATATTTTGAAATTTAGCATACCGAAAAGAGATTTCCCATGCATTAGAAAGGATCCACGAGTCACATCTCTTTACATATGCTGCTGCAATATTTGTTGTTATCATATCCAATGTAAACAATGCATTGATAAGTTCATAGTTTCTATGTAAAGTCATTTCTAATAAAATATTTTGAAAAAAAAAAAGAGTTCTCTCATTTATGGCTAGTCTGAAATTTGGCATTTTCTGTTCCACTGTTGATTTAAAACGAAGAGAAAAAAGGGGAAACAGTGTTATTGACAGATTCACTACTTAACTCAATCAATCTATATTGTTATTATGACTTATTAAAAAAATACATATGGAGAGTGGGATAAGGGGAAAAATAAAAGCAGTCAATTAAATAAAAAGTGCCATCAGGGCCTGGAAATGCCAAAGGATGAAGTCCAGAGAAAAGATAATGAATTCATATAACTTTTAAAATCTTGTGAAAAAGAATATATTAATAAGGTCATAATATTGACATAATTGTCATACAATTCAAATGACATTACTGATTCACTGTTACAATTAAATAGCAAAAATGTTTTGCTATTTTACACTGCAAGTGGTTCATATGTAGTCTGTTATAACAGTATT